GCATCAGTCAGTCGCAGAGTTAGGTCATTTATTCTAATGTTAACTGAGAGACTGACGCCAAAGTTCATCGGTCTCTAAAATCTGCTTCTAGTAGGTACAGGGTGTCCGGAAAGTCCTGGCGCTTCTCTTATATGCCGTCTAACGAGCGCTGTGATTGGTGGACGATCAGCCAATCACCGCAGGCGTGACCCCTCACTGACCGGTCAGCCGTGGGCCGTGTAAATTTGACCTTGAAATTGCGTTCAGTCATGGAAAAACAGACGAAGAGGCAACTTGTCGCTGGCTGTCTGCGCGCGGCGGCCGGGTCCGGCATGACCGAGGCGCAAGTCGCAGCACGATGTGGCGTTTCTCGGCGAACGGTTCAGCGGGTGAAAGCCAAGATCCGACGTGGGGATTCTTTAGAAGATGCCCCCAGATCGGGAAGGCCCCGGTCGGTCAGAACTGCCAAGAACGTGGCTGCCGTGTCAGCGGCAATCGAAGAGAATCCGCGGCAGCCGATCAGAAAACTGGCAAAGAAATTCGGCTTTCCGAAGTCATCCATGCACGAACTGATTCACCAAGATTTGGGGATGAAGTCCAGGGTGATCCAGAACAGGCCGCGTCTAACCGAGGTCACGCGTCTTCGCCGTCTGGAGAAAAGCAAGTTGCTCTTGAACTTCTTAAAGAGCCCAGTGACCTCCAGCTTCGTTCGGATCTTTTCCGATGAGAAGCTGTTCCACGTCGACGCTCAGATCAACCGAAGGAACTCTCGCTACTTGTCCGACAAGCCTGTTGACGAAGTGGATCCCCGGATTCGGTTCAACCCAGTCAACAAGCACCCGCAGAAGGTGATGGTCCTGGGGGTCATCGGATCGGACGGGCAGAAATGTCCCATCATCTTCGTTGATGCCAACGAAAAGATCAACAGGCTGGTCTACGAGGAGCTCCTGGACAGGCACGTCATCCCGTGGATCAAGGCGACTTACCCGGAGGGCAACTTCGTGTTTCAACAGGACGGAGCGCCCGCCCACAACGCTGCCGCCGTCCAAGCCAAGCTGACAGAGGAGCTGGGCGGGCCAGACCACTTCTGGCAAAAGAAGATGTGGCCGCCTCAGTCCCCCGACCTCAACTCTCTCGATTACAGCGTGTGGAGCGTCTTGCAGGATGAGGTCCAGGCTACCTCTCATCCCAACCTGGAGTCGCTGAAGGCTCGCATCGTGGCAGCGTGGGAGGGTCTGGAGGCGGCATACATCGTCAAGACATGCAAGGGCTTCCGCCCCCGCGTCGAGGCCGTCGTCGCCGCCGACGGCGGCTATATCGAGTGAACAGTTGGCGGAAGGATGTCTCTTGTTGTCCCCGATCATTGTTTCATCCAGTTGTTAAATATATATGAACCAGCCGCATTTGTTTGCGAAAAATTGAAAAGCGCCATGACTTTCCGGACACCCTGTACAGGCCGGTGACGTCCCTGTACCTAAATAAATATTTGTCCCAGTCGTTCTTGAGCATATCTATCCATCTATCTAGCATATCTATGACGACTGACGAACAACGTTGTGAATGAAATTTATCCGTATCCAATAGACGTATCGGATATCGAATCATTCAGGAACGGTTACGGTTCGATACAAGGAAGGGCTTTATGATCCGATACGAGGGATGACGAAATAATGTGGATACATATCGGAAGCGGCAACGATATAATGATCTCAGTGGGTACAGGGACCCGCAGTTGCTACTGTACAGCGACCCTGAGTAAATTGTCCCAGCACCCTCACAGGGAACAACGATAAGCTGTCAGAGGGTACTCACAGGAAACCTCAGCTACTCTTGTACAGGGACCAGCAGTCGATATCAATGTTATCGGTTGTTACTGGACAAGACAGACGGTTAGACTTGGGGTTCGTGTACAGTAGCAACTGCGGGTCCCCGTACAATTGATTCAATACCTTGTTTGTCATTTGGAGCTTAGGGGAGAGTGGGGTAATTTGGCCGCTTTTTTTTAGAAAACGATGTAACTTAAAACTGACGACACATTTCTGCATTTTCTCAACGCTGGCAGGTGTCGCATTCATTTTACTTTACTGGACAGTAAACTTGAAATGATAGAGTAATTACTTGTATTGAAATTGTGACGTATTACAAAGGTCTGCAAGGCGGCCAAATTGCCCCACTAGCAGGGTTATTTGGCCGGGGGTGTGGGGCAATTTGGCCGGTGTTAGTTTGCGGTCGGGATTTTCTGTTATATTGCGAGTCAGCTTCAGATTCAGCAATGACGTGTGTCCTATGACGCATTTACCACATTTTGGAGGTTGACTCATGGGGTCACAGGGGTCAAAATAGCCAAATTAGCGGCTCTAGATGCGAAGACAGTTTTTTACGAATAACTTTTGAAGTAATCAAGCTAGGCCAAAACTTCGAGTACCATCGTAATGCTCGCGTCATTCCGCATCGAAACATATATGTGTTGACCTCGAGAAGTCAAGCTCAAAGGTTGACCTCAGGTCACGTTACCTCAGGTCGCTTGACCTCAAGGTCACGTGATTTCAAGGTCATCATGCATATCATTCGATGCGCCTTGGCGAGCTGAACAGAATGAGACCATTTGTGCGGCTGTACCATTTTTATGTAAGGATTTATTAGCAAAAAACGTTTGGTAACCTTTGATGACGTCACATGCTCTTACAGTTGACCAATCGGAAGTAAGGCATCAAAGTAGTCAAAGTTGGTCATGAATCATGTCATTTATGGTACAATTGACCATGAAAACTCGGCCGTCCCAGCATAGTGACCATGAGCGCACCGGCCAAGTTGCCCCGCTAGTCCCGGCCAAATTACCCCATATTGCCATTCTGAAAATTTTTGTGTATAAAGTCATCACGGCTGTACGGAATTAGATGAAATTGCTCTTGGAACCGCGGAACACTCCCAAGAGTGGCGCTATAATGTCTGAATTCGTTTTGAGCCCAAATACTACATGTTATACAACTTTGTAAACAGAAGTAAAATTTACCATTTTCTAATGAAATTAACGTTTTATTAATTTTGAATAAAACTACGAGGGGTAAAGTTTTGACATTTGTCCTCCAGTTATTTCTACCCATGACAAATGAATAGAGACTAGAGTTATTTCACTCACTTTTCTTAGACATCGTACAGGTGGGGGCGGCCAATTTACACCACCGGCCAAATTACCCCACTCTCCCCTACAAGTTACAATATGCCTTTATTATGTTTTGCTGCGACTGACGGTAGCCCAGCATTGCCATGAAACTGATTAAATTTAGTGACGCCCTTGACTTGTGTTCCCATTGCCCGTTCCATGTGAATTTAAATAAGGACAAGGTACTCACATTACACAAAAACGTTTTTAGGAGTGTAGCCCTGCCTGCACAGTGAACAGTTTTATGTATTTTCTTGACCGAAACAAAACAAACACTGCTGTTCTTTAAATTGAAGGGACTTTTTGCATCAGCCGGAAATGTTCAACAATGTTTGCTCCCCATGCTGGTGTCTGGTGCACTTATGGCCGATCAGCCTCCTGAGAACATGCTTATCTTGGCGAAAAGGACTCGTCTCACTATGATATAACAAGCGTTCTGTTGCTCCCGGGGTATTTTGGACACAGTTGACCTTTGGGCCCGACGGTTCATACCGATGGGTACTTCTCATGACCCTGATATAAAATAGAGGGAGAGGAGGGAGAAAAAATGATAACGTCCAGTGAGCGGGTGTGTGGAACTTGTTAGTTGTCACGGTATAGCGACGTTTTTTATAGTTTGTGTCCATTGATTGCCTGTTATGTAAGCGTCACGGCCTGATATAAGAACGTTTTACATAGCTAAACCTGCACTCTGAAGCCTGAACTCCCATCCGAAACAAGCACGGACACCGTGTTCGTTGCAGAGGCTCCGCCCATTGGAGCCCGCCCCCGACCGATCCGTCGCCATTCAGAGCTGACCAGGAATGCATGACGTCACAAACGTCGTCGCCACCTGCTCCCTGGCTTTTGGCGGCGGCCGCGACAGCTCGACCCGCATGACTCGGCCTCCGACTCTCGCCCAATGACTCAGCAGCCCCATGACTCGGCCACTCGGTCAGAGTCGGCGATATGCCGGGCGTGCCATTGGCCTCGGGTCAGCTATGTGGGTGCAGGGTTACGACCTCACAGGACGCCGGATCTTCGCGGTAGCTCTGATATCAGCCACAGCGGTGTTTTTTTTTAGGAAGCGTCATGTCGCTGCAGGTGTATCTTCACCTGACCAGATCCATCACAGAGGTAATAGGTAAACAATGCATCTCTTACATCATCTTGCATCGCAACGGAGCGTGAAAGACAACGATAACAAACAACCGGAAGAATGAGGTTATTTCTTTGTAAACGCGTCTTTCTTTTTTTCTGTGTGCTCTCCCATCATTATTATTATCTCTTCTCTCGTATCCTCTGTCATCTCCTCTCGCACTGTCTTTTTCTGCGCCATTCTTTCGTGTTCTCCCTTCCTTTATCGAATAATGTTTCATATCTTCTCCCGGACTCTGCCTCTGTCTCTGTCTCTGTCTCTGTCTCTGTCTCTGTCTCTGTCTCTGTCTCTCTCTCTCTCTCTCTCTCTCTCTCTCTCTCTCTCTCTCTCTCTCTCTCTCTCTCTCTCTCTCTCTCTCTCTCTCTCTCAAACATACACTCACTCTTGCTGACATCCTCCCACTTTCCCAGCCGCACGCTCTGTCTAAATGCCGACCCGTTAATCTGGCCGTTCGTCAGACAGACGTCATCGAAACGGAGATCTTTGCCTGGTAATCAGTCACTCGCAAGACGCGTGCCAGCAACAACAGAGGTGCGCCGGCGGCCGTGACCGCGACCCCCCTCCTACCCCCCCCCCCCTAGCCGTCATGTCCGTCAATCGGCAGGTCCGTTCGTCGGTCTGTCGTTCGGTTCGTCCTGAAATCGCTGACGCCGACGCCCATGATTTATGTCGCAAACATCCCCGGTCGCGGAAAACAGCAGCGGCCCCAGCACACAGCCCTGCGGTGACCCGGCGTTTATTTCTGATATTCGTAAATATTGACACTGGACACGTGCTAGAACCGCCTGGCATTTCATGAAAAACTACACCAGAAATACCACGCGTGTCCCAAGGTGAGACGGAAACTTCCGACTGGTTTCAGTAGCGTTTCTTGGCATGTCAGAAATGTATCGATCACGAGCACGCCCAGTGGATCTCGGCAGTGTGCGGTGAGTACGATCTGCCTTTGTTGGGTCATGGGTGATGGAGCGACGCAGACGTGACCCCGACCTGACATTTCGTTGGAAGGGGGGCCCATTGTCCAACCGAGCGGAATCCCCTGGTCATCCTAACGCGCATGGCGAGCAGAATTGTACAACAAACAACAATCGCAATGCATGGTATATCAGTTAGTAACTAGGGCGCAGGACGGGTTAACGTCTCAGGCTGACGCCTTTTGCCGGTCATCATTGACAGGTTCATACCCTTGGTTCTGTATTTTGTCCTTGAACTTCTCATAACTTCGTTTCCTGTCGAAGTGTTTAACCTGGAACAAAACAAATGTCTTTCAGAAGTGAAGAAACAATAGATTGATTTGCGGACAGAAATGTGTAGTGATCAATGGAACACGATGCAGTAGTTTCGAGTTACATCAGCGATAGCATAACAACTCAAAACAGCAAGGAAAAGAAAGAGCGTCAATATAAATCTTTCGCCCACAACATCGGTAATAATCATGCGGTCCACCAAGTATGTAGTTACGTAAAATAAAAGCACGATAGGAACGATTCGTCGTGCGAAAAGCAATGACGGCATTGGGATCCAGAACATCGATTACAAGGCATCAGAATTTTGCCGCAAATACACTGGCATCCTCGCCTCCTCGTATCATTTATTTTGAATTTCCACCGAAAAGGCGCTAAGGTCTAGCGCGCATCACCCCGCTACGGGGTAGTCACTGCCGATGTGAAAGGGTAGATGTGATTGCTAATTATCACATCGCATGTAACGGAGGCATCCCAAGTCTGTTGCATGACACAGCACTTCCACGTCAACTACTTCCACTGCCAAGGCCCCTCAGTATCCGCGCTGCCAGACAGAAGTTGCGTAACGTCTCCAAAGTGCCCTTAGAGCACCTCACTAAAGCCCCACCCTCCAGTGCAGCCTAGCAACTTAATGGTGCGCCAGCTGGCGGCAACTCAGGCCTGCCAGTACGATCGCTCGTACTGCTTCATCAGGCGCCTAAGGTCACATCAGCTCCTCCAGTGACACCGCAGGCCTTTGAAGTGTCAGAGGCGTCGGCCGCAGGGCGCCGCCGATCCAGCGCCCGGCGATGAAAAACGACCTCGCCAGTCCAGAACACGGCCATTTTTAGCACGGACGGCGTAGCCGCTCACACTTCCATGCGTCACGAGCCTCAATCAGCAAGAAGTCAGCGCGTTAGCCAGCCGAGAGCCTGACGGAAGACAGATTAGTCTGCGTAGCAACGGCAGTCAGGGCCAACAATAGCCGCCGACCGGAACATGACTCGGCCCGAACATTGGCGCACCGTGCTGGTCTTCAGAAAGAGCGAATAATCAATCGACGGGGAGACTTCTGTCGTGCATCGCAACCTCAGAATGGCATTGGATCGAATAGAAAAACACCGGGAGAAAGCCGAACAGGGAATGGAGAGAGGGAGAAAGCCGAAAAGGGAATGGAGAGAGGGAGAAAGATGGAAAACGAGAGAGAGAGAGAGAGAGAGAGAGAGAGAGAGAGAGAGAGAGAGAGAGAGAGAGAGAGAGAGAGAGAGAGAGAGAGAGAGAGAGAGAATGGGAGAGAAAGGGATGGGGGAAAATATAGAGTAGAGAGGGGAGGCAAAGAGGAGGAACGAGAGAAAGAGAGAGAGAGAGAGAGGAGAGAGAGAGAGAGAGAGAGAGAGAGAGAGAGAGAGAGAGGGAGAGGGGGAGGGAGCGGGGGAGGGGAAAGAGGAGATGTCAACGCCGCGCCGCCGTCGGCCGGTCCATTCATTGCTACTTGTCAAAGCAGCTGTCGTGTGGGGTGGCCGGGCACGGCGCGAGTCGCGCTGCCAACGGAAACAGGCGAGTCGCAGCACGGCGGGCTGAACAGGACAGAGAGCAGGGAGCTGAACACGACACAGAAAACTGACCAGGACAGAGAAAGGCGGACTGGCCAGGGCAGGGAACAGGAAATCGAATATGACAGAGGACAGGGAACTGAACAGGACAGGAGCCAGGGATCTGAGCAACACAGGGCACGACGGGTAAGAGAGAGGACAGGACATGATGCTGAGAAGTGAGCTGGTGAGGGAATGAAAACCTGAACCGGGCAGCGAAAAGGAACGGAACATGCTATGACGAAAACATAACGGGACAAAGAAGGAACATTAACCCTCGCCCGTATGGGGAGAGGAGGTCGAAGGGACCTCCCTCGGTTTTTCACGAATAACTCGCGTAAAAAGCGGCCGATCGCGACGAAACTTTCAGTACCCTCGAGTTAATCAATTTTACACCTACACTGAAAATTTCATGACCCTGAACCAAATGACCTTTGACCTGTGACCTACTTTTCGAGACCATGTTTGGCTGGAATCGCGATTCGGCGTATGTCGGCTCGCATTAGCCGCGCTTTTGCAGTCTTTTCGTGGTTTCAAGCGTTCAAACATGTGATATGATGTTTCCCCCATGCGTTAGGGTGGATGTCAAGGTACACCTGAAGGTCAGGTCAGGTCAGGTCATTGACCTTTGATGACCTCGGTTTACCTTTTCGAGTTTTACATGTTTCTAGGCCAGTTTTTGGAGCTGAATTCGAATTAAGCAACCATATGAACATTTACGAAGTTGTTTTGGTGTCTTCGTAACATGTTACGAAGCTGTCAGAGGTGGTTGACACCTACTACGAATACCCGGCAGGACCCCTACTGGATAACCTGACCTGACCTGGCCTAAATGCATGAAGACATCATATGTGATCAAAATTAACATGATATTCGTGATGAGCACCCCCAAAAAAACCATAGCAGCCACACTTTACGTCACGAACTTCTAACAGGTCCCGATTTTCCCGACTTTTGGGTCATTGACCTGGCCTGGAAGGTCAACCACCGGCCTAGGACCTTAAAATTGGGTATCATCGGCTTCCTCTCGTCACGGGCAACACGGTGGTTTTCTCCGCGAAGCTCTAGCTCCATCAGGGGCGAAACGGCAAGGGTGCGGGGTCCAACGGACCCCCTCCCCCCGCCCTTATACGTTCCCGGCTGGAAAAACACCAATACGGGCGAGGGTTGTAAGTACCGAGACTCTTCGGCAGCCGTGAGATGGTGGTAGGCTGTCAAGACTTCTATTAAAGGCAGATAATGAGCTTTCTTTTTTCTTAAATAAAAATTACTCGACATCTATACTATTTCTACTGTAGTTTCTATAAAATATGAAAATTTCCTAGCACATTTTCGTATGTGAAAAAGGTTTTTATTTTTGCAAAAAAGAAGCAGTACTTGCAGTACTTGTAACACCCACCGAAATGCGTTGTCCTTCTCTATAAAAAGTCGCAGTATATGGCGCTTTTGTTTCAAACAGCGACGCTTGGGTTTTTGTTTATGTTATCGCCTTGTCGTTGCTTGGTTGTAAGGATTCTAATTTGAATTAGAGTTAATTCGGTTTAGAATTAATTAGATTCTAATTCGGGGGTACATAGTGCCTACTCTTCTTTGTTTCCAAGTATTATTTTGCGCCACAAATGAACGGCATGCGCCAGAAACGCAGCCAAATCTTGCGATTGCGACTACGAAATTCATTATTTTGGCGTCAGAGCCTGAAGCGAAAAATACAAGCATATTTATTTCAAAAAGACTTCAGGTTTGTCGAACGGTGTTATGAGAATTTTGAGTTCAGTACTGCATAAGTTTTTCAGTGATGCCGCAAAAGTGTTGTATCTATCTTCTTTTATTGTGCAGTCGGCGGGACCGATTCAAAATTGAGTCGCTGCTACTAAAATAGCAGCATATGGCGTCAGATGATGAACAGGAAAAATAGTTGCGTAAATTTAGACATAAACCACCCCCAAACCATGAATATCTTTTGAAGGCACTATAGACGACCATTAACTAACTAGATGTGATGAAGATCAAATGTAAGGAATACGCTCATTTAACAAAATTACATGCAAGTACCAAAAAGTGATGTAAGTACTTATTCAACGGTCATTTTCAGCGCTCCCCGCTAACGTGACTTCAAGTTGAGATATTTGCGGCAAGGTACCGAATTGAGCAAAATGGTTTTAATTTACACTATAACTTATTGTGTTTTGTCAGAAAATGGTCCTAACTCAGATTTTGTGGAAAAAGGTCATTATCTCCCTTTAAGCGCACAATTCCGGTAAGACAAGAGAGAGATTGCGCAAGAGAGAAATTGCAAACAACTTGGTTGCTGCCATGATTGCTCACAAACATATGAGGCGCGTCGTTTAGGAAAGAAACTGATGAGAAGGTCGGGCGATGAACGAAATGGGCGAAACAGCTATGAAATAGGTGGTAGGTAACCAAAAACAATGCTTAAATATACCTTCAAGGGGGGCGGGAGTAACAAAAAGGCCGGTGTGTAGGCAGAAAAGCGCCAGGCTGGGCCATCCTCTTCACAGTTTCCTCCCCGCTCACACGGCTGGTCGGTGGCCGGTGGGGTCGACACTCACCCCCTGACCTCACCTCTGCCCCGAAGCTAAGGTCACGACCCCAGCCGCCCACTCAACAAGATGGAGGGTAAACAGCGCGGTCGCCGCTCACAGGAAATTGGCACGGCCGCGCCCGGCCCCGAATTTTGATGAGCGAACCCGCTAACAGCAGCAGAACGGTTCCGGCACACTTCTCACCGCTTATTTATTGACTTTGGTGCTAATTTTGTTCCCGCGGCGAAGACGCAAATTTGTTATTATTGACTGAAATATGAACTCGGACTGTAGCGATAACTAACATCAAAGGAATTTGAATTTGATGATCGAGTAACATCAAAGAAACGGTCGCACATATAAACGGTGGGTATGTAATTAAATTAGAAAGAGCGACCAATTATAGCAAACTAATGCAAGGCATTTCTATTGATGAAGTGTCAATAAAGTGCTAACTGTAAGTTTATTGGGATCACTGACAGACTCAGAGGTTACCAATCAACGCAACTGCCCACTACCCGCGCGACCAATCACATCGCCATCTACACGGGACTCGAATGGTCTTTGATGGTTCAGTCCCGTACGACCGCCTGTCAGCTCAGTCAGAGTGGCTAGCGCTGAACCTTAGTAGCGCCCCAAATCCTCCCATCCGCCCTCAGCTCGGCTCAGGGTTATTCTTAACAGCAATAACGGCAACCTACCCCACCGCACGCACGCCGTCGTGACTGAGCGCGACACCATGGCTCTGTCTCGCGCCGCGCCGGTCGCGACAGACTGGCTATTCTGGTCGAGCTGCCGAGTCTCGGCGACCGCGGCCTCGGTGTGGCGGCCCGCCCGGCCGGAGCGTCCAAACACAACAGCGCGCCGCCACCGCTGCCGTCGACATGGCTCGCAGCTCGACCCGGGCGCCGGCCATTCAGTGGCGAGCGCTGGCCGCGGCGGCTGGACGGTGGTCACCACAGAAAACTACACTCTGCAGACCGTAGAAAGCTGGAGCGCACAGCGTCCCTCATATCTCAGGCTGAAGCTCCCAGCCTCCCTCAGGCCGTCTGGGTGCCACAGCAACTCCCAGACAGTCTGGACCCAGCTCTTGAGGCGTGGCTCACCCACCTACGACACCGGCGCGACGGCTGGCGCGGCTCGCTCCGGCCGCGGAGTCAACAAACAGATCGCCGACCGGTCCGCGCCTGCGGTGATGTAATGATCTCGGGCCCGACTCGACGCCGCGGTCGGCACAGATGAGGTCACTGACGGTGGGCGCGCGGCGGTACGGCGACTGACGAGAGTCACCTGGTCCGAGAACCGGGAGCACGCCGGATAGGTCTGGTAACACGGCTGGACGGTCTGGCAGCGCCGGCAGTGGGCGGCCGGGTGCTGGCAAGTACCCATCATGTGTTTCTGCCATGGGTGCAGTGTCTGCCAGAATAAGCCCAGCCGCGGCGACTTTGGATGGCTTTGAATGATTTTCATGGCCCATGGTCTTGAATTTATTTCGCCGCCGTCTGGCATTGCAGCCGTGCATTCAATGGCATGGTAGTTGCCGCGACTTGGGTTGACGTAAACGCACGAAAAAAGAAGACGGCGGCTGGGACAGCCTCTTCCCACACTCAACCACTAGCTGAGGACTGGGGTAGAACTTATTTTACACAATGGCTGGGGCAGCCTTACCCGCACTCACCCATTGGCTTGGGGATGAGGCAGCCTTCCCAAGTTCCAACATTCACCCATATGGCTGGATCAGTGTATCCCACACTCACCCATTGACTGGGGCAGCCCTTCCCACACTCACCCATTGGCTGGGGCAGCCCTTCCCACACTCACACATTGGCTGAGGACTGGGGTAGAACTTATCTTACACAATGGCTGGGGCAGCCTCACCCACACTCACCCATTGGCTTGGGGCAGCCCTCCCCACACTCACCCATTGGCTGGGGACTGGAGCAGCCCTTCCCACACTCATCCATTGGCTGGATCAGCCCTTCCCACACTCACCCATTGGCTGGGGCAGTCTTACCCACACTCACCCATTGGCTGGGGCAGCCCTCCCCACACTCACCCATTGGCTGGGGCAGCCCTCCCCACACTCATCCATTGACTGGATCAGCCCTTCCCACACTCACCCATTGGCTGGATTAGCCCTTCCCATCCTCACTCATTGGCTGGGGACTGTATCAGCCCTTCCCACACTCACCCATTGACTGGGGCAGCCATCCCCGCATTCACCCATTGACTGGGGCAGCCCTTCCCATCCTCACTCATTGACTGGGGACCGGATCAGCCCTTCCCACACTCACCCATTGGCTGGAAAAGTCATCCCTACACACACCCATTGGCTGGGTCAGCCCTTCCAACACTCACCCATTGGCTGGGGCAGCCCTTTCTACACTCACCCATTGGCTGGATCAGTCTTTCCCACACTCACCCATTGGCTGGGGCAGCCCTTTTCGTACAGCTCGCGCAGGTGGCTGCAGGGCGCCGCGTTCTCGGCGTTAGCGTCTAGGCACGCCCAGAACTGGTCGCGGGCGTCCCAGCAAGCCTGGCGCGCTGCCTTGTTCGGGAACGACATGCCTACGGGACGGAGGAGCCGGTCAGAGACAGCATAACGAGCGGCACCGGGGCGTGGCGCGCCCGTCACCGGCGCGTCACAGCCGCGTCACAACGACAAAAAGCCACTCTGGGGTGGTCTGTGACGGCGCGACGACGAATTGTCGGCCGGCTAACAGACGAGAGCCGGAACAATGCCGACCAGAATAGCGGCACCGTCGCCAGCCGAGAATTCTCCCCTGCCAGAGACGGTGCCGGGCGAGGGCGCTCGTTCAGAAGATTGCTGGTCGACCCGGGAACAGTTCGTTATCGCTCAGCGGCGGCGTTTCTGGCACTATGTGGAAGCTTTTCTGTGCCGCTTTTCTTTCACGTATGACGTAGCGCCGGGCGGGGCTGCCAGTGCGGCTGCCTGTTGTCGTCAGTTTGTATTTATTAGTGGCGGGTCGCCGATTTCGGCTGCGCTCGGTCGATTCTGCGCTTGTGCTCAGTAACCAACTCTGTAAGGACACGTGATATCTCTGGGGGGGGGGGGGGGGGGCGTAAGCACTGTGCAATACATTGGATGGGATGCTAGTTGGGCCTTTGGCATATGGGGGTCGTTTGTTATCTGACATTTGACCTAATCCGACTATCTGAATTAAATTTGCCAATTAGGTACCATGACATCAAATGACAGGAGACGACGAGCAACTGTACACATTACCCAAGCCCAGGGGTGCGGAGCCAGAGCCGGAGCCGGAGCCGTCAAAAAAAGGGGCGACTCCGGCTCCTTTTTTAAGAGGAAAAAATTATTGACCTAGTTCGGTTTGACAGCTCAAGGCAGTAAAACATGCGGTATTCAAAAAATGAAAATAGCCTTGTTATGCAATTACAGAAGCAACGTGGACCAATCCCATCGTCTTTTTTCTTCCACCCGTATTCAATTGCATAGGGGATGTACTGAGTAATGGAGCCGGAGCCGGAGCCGCCGGAGCCGAACCATTTACTCGAAGCCGGAGCCGGAGCCGGAGCCGCCATGGCATTTCACCCGGAGCCGGAGCCGATTTTTTCTCCGGAGCCGGAGCCGTCTGAAATTTCCACGGCTCCGCATCCCTGCCGAAGCCCCAAACAGACCAGCTACAAGAAGGTGTGTCCTCAGATTCGGTAAGTATTGCGAATAATGATAATGGTAGGTAACTAGGTAAGGTAGCCCAGGTACGAATTCGTCTGCCCACCACGGCGGAAAGGAACGTAAAAGACAGCCAGCGAGCCAGTTTCGTGGGCCATGTGGGTCACAATAGGCGTTTTATGAGCCGTCAGAGCCCGCTGCGTCAGAGCACATTCTGCTGAGGTGGTGGCGGCATTTACAGACATAACTCGGCCCGAAAGAGCGTCTCGCCGTGCCTACGTTACTCTGACGTAATCGCGTCGGTCGGTAGGTTCTGTCATGTTTGCATATTATCAACGCTAACGCGATGCGCGCGTAAGAGTTAAAGCACGACAAAGCGTGCCATGGAACAAACGAATAAGCAGCGCACCATTGCTTTACCTATTGCACTTGAAAGTTGAAATCAAATCAAGTCTCGTCTCTGGAACCAATGAACATACCTACACAAACAAATACAGAACTCCGCGCCTTTACCTACCCATATTCGTTATGCTAAAAAAAACTATCATAAACATCCCCCAAACTAAATGCTCGTATGCAAAACATCACACCCACTTGTTCTTCCATTGTAATTAACACTGTCGTTAGCAGCAGAAAGCTCAGCAATAATATCGTGCGGCACCTCTCAACGAGTTCGGTGGACTCCCTGAACGTGCCCTGACCGGTGACCTGCCCCACCCACTAGCAGGTCAGCTGCCGCTACCCGTTTCACTTCACAGTGAAAAGTAAGTTCACCGTTCGCACTCCCGCGCAACTGCCCGGAAGTCGCAGCGACCTCTCTTTCACGGCCTTCACGGGCCCATCACACTCGTGGTACCATCGACTGCCAGAAACGATGCCGAATGGTTAGAGTTGAACGCGAAGGCCTGATGGAGGAGGAATCGATAACGAGATTGACGGTGATAACGGGACAATAAAGCATGACAGAGCTAAGTGCACAAACTTACCTACCACGAGGCCAGATCCCTCGTAAGAGGAGTCGGTTATAGGTAGGTACAGGTCCTGAATGGGATCTTAGGGGGTGCAAGACGTAATTCAGTGTCGTCATATGACAAACAATTCGATAAAATTTATCTCGGCCCTGAATGAGCTGGTCTGTACAACGACCAATACCATTTCCCGCAAATTAAATCTGTCGGTCGAGGACAAATAGTGAGCTCTGGCATAAAATGGTTACGTGCATGTTTCACCGCTTCTCGGATATGGAAACCATCAAAATAATTCAAAATCGGCCGCAATGAAACACAATCATCACGAGTCACATAGTTCGTCGTTTCAGTTCAAACTACGATGGCCACCAGTGACCGGATATATGACCCGTCTCCCGACATATCAGCCCACCCCGCATCTTACATCCCGGGCCGAAAACCATATATCAGAGCGTCTAAAGGTCAAGCTACACGGGACACTTTTTCGGTTTTTGATTTTTCGGTTTTTCGCTTTTTCGGTTCGATTTATCGCTTTTTCGCGTCGGTTTTTCGATTTTTCGATTTATCGCTTCGTGACTTGAGTTTTTCGAGTTTCATTGATTTTTTTTTTAGTTGGAACGCGCTGTGCAACCGCCAGCTCTTTTTGTTTTGTTTGCAACCAATGCAATGCGTTGGTCGCAGTTTTGCCAAGGGGCTTTAGGGGTCTGTTTTGTTGTCTGCTTTAACAGATGGAAATTACTTAAAATAGATCTCGTCTGTTTTGTAGTAGGAAATTAGGTAGCTTGACTAAACTTCCAGCAGCTACTAACCGGCGCCCCGCTGGGGCTCCTGGATTTCCTCGCCCTGCTGGTAGGGGGAACACCCCTTCTAACTTGGCTCCTGAGCCACGTAGCGGCACGCCGTAGGCGACACTTGAAAAAGCCCTAAAAATAAGGAACAAACTGCTTCGGCCATTTTTAAGTCCGGTGTAGGCCAAAGGGCAGGTCACCAAAGGTCATCGAAGGTAAACTGTCGCCAATATCTATAGATTAAAGCGACAATTTTCGACAAATCGGTCCATAGCTCAGGAATTGATAGAGCTATAGCGCCGCGGAGAGGCGCAATCAAACGTTCTTTTAACGTTCTTCCGCTAGCATGTCCTCAGATTTGACGTAAGGTCCACGGTTTATCCTGCAGGGGCATAAATGCCCAAAATAGACGACTCTGCAAAAAACAGTTTTTCCGCAATAACTTTTGACTCTAAACTTGCACGAGCTTTCCTTCACCAGAAACGTGTTTCTCTGGTCGAGACGCTTCGAATGAACATTAAGCTAACTGGACTGGTCTAGGTCATGACCTGGCCGGAAAGTTCGTGATACCTACATATCAGCCGATTTGTATCGTCCTGTGGAACACATCGAATGTGTTTTCATCGCTCTATAGTAGCATGCCTTTACCGAAATTTATTACCGAAAATTGTGCATACCTTTCGCGACCTGATATGATCTCAGGACATAACAAGGGGTCACGGGTGCCATATTCCGGTTCATTGTGTCATGTGTACCTACGTGCATAGGCGTAGGAACAGCATGTTATGAAGACAAAGAAGCAAATGACTCGAAAGATGGGTAGAAGGGAAAATATCCTGAACTCATATACTGCAGTAGCGTTGATGCGAAAAGGGGTTTTTGCTTCGATTATTATGGGTGCAGAATGCACTGTCGGTACCTATTCGATAATTATTGTGGGTGCAGCTGCAGCTGCATCCACTGCACCCATGGTTCCTATACGCTTATGTGGACTTGTAACCTGAGAGTGTTTAGAATGACGTTCGTTAAAAGAAGCCTTTCAGTTTTCAGTTTCTAGGCAATGGGGGGGGGGGGGGGGGTCGCAAAATTGACGTGGCCTTGGGTTACCGATATCGAAATTATGTGATATACATTTTGTGCATACTGCTACTCTCTTGAATTGCTGAAAGTTCCAAAGCCATCCGTTACCTGGTGTAGCAATGATAAGCATTGGAACATTTTCTGAGTTGGTCACTCTGACCACCTCACCAGGTTACCTGACCTGGTGACCTGACTCCCCTAGCAGGGCGCGGCTATAAGCATGATGAACAGGTTTTACAAAAGATGAAATAAATACGTGCATATATCTCACATAATTCACCGCTATTCAATCCTTTCACGTGGATAATATGTGCATACCTACACTGAAATACTATTGAGCGATTACATTCCTTCCTTTCCATTAGGAGTACCGAAATGTGAATCGTCGGAAACATGCATCAGTATTACCACATCGTCACGTGCTGAAGCCGAAAAACTGAAGATTACTTGGAAAAGCTGATTGTCGATCCAAACTTTTGGGTTGGACGAGTCGCTTCGTTTTTTCGCTTTTTCGATTTTTAGAGTCGCTTTTTCGCTTTTTAGAGTCGTTTTTTTCGATTTTTCGCGTCGCTTTTTCGAGTTGCTGATTTCGTTTTTTCGGTTTCGCTGTCGTGGAGCTACACCAATGTTATCAAGTGAAGCTGATCGTCTACTGAAGCCGAAAAAGCGAAAAAACGAAACGAAAAACCGAAAAAGTGTGCCGTGGAGCCTGTACTTAACGTCACAGAACAGTAGAAAAGCGCACACGATTCGGTTGAAATTAACGTGCGTGACTAATTTACGGCCTCGTTATTCAGCGGACCATATGTTAAAGGAAAAGGGCCACCTTCGTGAAATATGAAGATATCGTTGTTTTTCATTTTGACATTATTATTTTGCATTTTCTTTTTAAAACTGGTGCCAGAAGTGCACAATTCGCGAAAAAGTATTTAAAACTATTTAACATATTGGTACTATGTTGATACTCTCTACGGCACCTACTATATGATGGCATAGCGATGACGTCACGCTCAAGCCAATCAGCGTTCAGAAGACAGACTCGTCGGATTGTGTCAGATAAGCTGATTGGTTAAAGCTGAGCTGGTTGGAGCTGATTGGTAAAAAACCAAAGCCTCGCCGCGGGTGGCTGTATTGTCGGATAAGAACGCATTCCTGGGATAAGGACGCATTCCTGGCGTATTTTCTTTTAAAATTGCCGATAACTACGAATGGATGCCGAAATCGGCCGTAAGGAGGTAAGCAGACAGGTTTTCGGACACGGGCTACAAGATGGCTATCTCAGTTTCAATCCCCATGTTAAAGGTGGCCCTTTTCCTTTAAAGGGACCCTCCCACCTTCAAAAAAGTTAATGAATTGGCATGAAAGTGATGTCGCTCGGTTCAGAAAGGGCAAAAACGAATATCTACCAAATTTCATCGAAAAATATTCACCGGTTTTCAAGATATTAGACTTTTACTTTTGTTTACTTTTTGGGATCTCCGCTGTTCCTAGCGACTTTATTTGAAAGTGCGGCATTTGTTGCGCGCAAAGCAGCATATACCATAGAGTTCAGTGATATACCACCGCGTGCTACAAAACGTTTTAGTCAAACATTTAACGGACGTTCGAAAGCCTGATGACGTCATCAGATTCCCGTAATGGTTAAGAGATAGGGACCACGCTGGTCCCACCCTGCAAGTAAAGGGAAGAAATTTCTTGAACACCATAAAGCTGCGGGGGTTGCGACCAGGATAAATGGTGGTTTCTGAGCCTGGCCGCAAACTTGGCTATCTCAACTCAAAACTAATGTTAAGGTGGGAGGGTCCCTTTAAGCAAACAGGGAAGGATGCTGCCGACTGGGACTGGCAGTGCCGTGAAACGGGACCGACTTTGTCCCAGAACATTACAGTTGGCAGGTCAGCAGCGGCGCCGTTACAGCGGCGAGGGCTTTACGAGACCACCTGTCGTGAGAGGCATAGGCGGCGGAACGGGGGGGGCACCGGGGCACCGTGCCCCCCCTTGAATTCTGCAAGGGGGGCACCAATAGCAAGGTGCCCCCCCTTAAATTTGATGTATTAGTACCAGGGGCGGATTCGGGAAAACTCTAAGGGGAGGTTCATGAATCGAAGTGGTGCCCCTACCTATGCCCAAAATTAAAACCTCAACGGATTTCGGCCACTTAATTTTGGTGGTGCCCTATTTTCAGTTTTTTTTCTTTATTTTTGGTTAGTCATGTGATGACTGGTGCCCCTGCTAAGCCGCTGGTGCCCCTGGAAAGACTGTGGTACCTACCTACCCTGCCCCCTGACCAGCCTACGGTGGGCCCTGACATGACTTAGGTGCCCATGGGCCCTGACAGGCCCGTGGTGCCCCTGACAGGCCTGTGGTGTCCTTGCTAGGCCTGTGGTGTCCCTGGGCCTTGGCAGGTTTGTGGTGCCCCTGTTAGAACGCAGGTGCCCTTGACAGGTTTGTGGTGCCTCTGACAATCCTAAATTGCCAACGACAGGCTTGTGGTGCCCTTGACAGGCCCATGGTGCCCTTGCGAAGCCGGTGGTTCCCCTGCGAAGCCGATAGTGTCCCTGACAGGCCTCTGGTGCCCCTGACAGGTCTGTGGTGCCCCTGGAAGACCTGTAGTGCTTTTGCTAGGCCGATGGTGCTCCTGACAGGCCTGTGGTGCTACTGACAGGCCCGTGGTGCCCCTGCTAGGCCTTTGGCACCCCTGGCGGGCCTGTGGTGCCCCTGTCGGCTGTCAGGCCTGTGGTGCTCCTGGCAGGCATGTGGTGACCCCAGGCCCTAAGTCATGACCCATGTGACCTCCACCCTGGGATTCGCCACTGATTAGTACTGCGATGGCTTCTTGGGAATTATACATGTAGGATAAATGGAATTTATCAAACGACAATAAGGAAGAGACAAACACATAGGTACTTGAGGATCAGCTTAAAGTTAACCACACATACGGGCAGGGGTGTAATTTTCCTAAAATGATTGTGGGTGCCCAGCTGTAGGGGCGCCCGGCGCCAGGCCGTTTTGGGGCGCGATAGATATTCTTTATGTGGGAGCCTAAATTAACACCGAATTTGATAACATTGCTAGCCGAATGGCGCTTCAAGTGACGTGTCTGACTAAGCAGATACGCGCTTAAAAGTGGAAACTGACCGGAAGGACGTAAAAAATATGTAGAGAGGCGCCATCCAGTAGGAGGGGCACCAAATGTGGAGGCGCCAGACGGTTACGACTTACGAGGGCGCCGAGTGATTGAAAACGCTATGTGGTCCAGGGGCGCTAAGAGGCCAGAAGGGCGCCGCACAGTCAGTAGTGCTACGTTGGTGGGGACGTGGGGACGCCAGATGGTTACGAGGGCGCCTTGAGATCATGAAAAGGGCGCCATTCTCGTAAAAGGGTGCCGAGTGATTGAAAACGCTATATGTGGTTCAGGGGCGCTGAGAGGCCAGAAGGGCGCCGAATAGTCGAGGGATGCACGGTGAACAGAGACCTAAGGACGCGAGACGGTCAGGAGGGCGCCGTTAGACCATGAGAATGGCGTGGTGCTGTCAAAAGTGCGCCATTCTCCCAGAAGGGCGCCGAGTGATCAAAACGCTATCCATGAACGCGAGACGGTCAGGAGGACGCCGTTAGAGCATGCGAAGGGCACAGTGCTCTCGAAAGGACGCTTGCAGCCTTGTAAAAGACTTGTTGGTGCCTTTTCATCATTGTGGGGGCATACTTCAGGATTGTGGGTGCATATGCCCCCACAAAGAGATATAAAATTAGGTACACCCCTGCATACGGGGGTGAACTGCCATTTTCGTTTAGTAAAAAAAATAAAAATTATCGTGTCAGGGCTGTGACGAAAAATAAGTGGCCTAAATCCGATGAGAAAACAGGATTTGGGGGTACCCTAGGTTTGGCTCCTTGAGCCATGGTGCCCCCCCTTGTCTCAAATCGTTCCGCCGCCTATGGTGAGAGGGTTGCTACGGTGCGCGAGTTCGCAGATACAATGACCCCTGTGTGTGGTAATAGTGATCGCTGGTTTTGTCGTCATCCACCAGGTAACCGTGCTTACATTAATCGATATTAAGATCGGTGTCTAAGAGAGCAATTCAGACGAACTGATATCTACTTATAATCTTAGCAGTAGCGGCGGAACACCTTCAATTAGGGGGGGCACTGCCGACTTTTAGTCTCATTCTTTCCATGCAACGCCCATAGGGCTAATGCTAAAATGATGAAATCAAAGGGGGGCACGGTGCTCCGATGCCCTCCCCGTTCCGCCGCCTATGAATCTTAGCATATTACAGTCGGGAAAATGCCGATGTTATATAATGGAATGTTGTAATGTTAAGCAAATGCGAAAGATTTTGATATGCTTTCCCTTCAGAATTCAGATACAATAGAGAGGCGGTCAGAAATTGAATGCTTTCTCATTACTATCGTTGTTCTGTGCTTGCCTAAGATAATAACCTTTACGTCCTTTACAAAATCAACACACTTATCCCATAGTCCGAACAAAAACAGACCAGTGTACCAGACCACCACACAAAACTCAAACATACCTGGAGCCTCCGCCGGTGCAGGTACCCGCTCGCTGCCCCACAACTCACTAATTCACTCACTCAACTCACAGACACCGCTCACTCGCCACTCTGCTCACACTCAGACAGTCCACCTCCGGCTACCAAGCGTCCATCGAGTCCGACACTTCCCCACCGACCGGCCATTTGGCACTGACGGTTCTGCCGAGACCGGCCGCCGGCGTCCCCCCCCCCTCCCCCCACCGGGGAAGGGGGCCGGTTATCCTGAGCGCTGGTCGCCCAAAATAGCCCAGGCGGCTATTAATGGCTCCGCTCGAATGGCACCGGATACCACGCCCATCAGCCAGCCTCGTGAGGCCCCCACGGGATCTGGGTGCTACCGATCACCCTGGGACTAGGACAATTTACAACTTCGATAGCGTTGCTGTAGACATGCATTTTGATAGACCCCCTTCCATGATCATTGATTCTATTTTTTGTCAACACAGAAATCCCAAAAAAAATCACTTGCTGCAACTCACAAACGTTCTATTTTTTTTTTCGATTGTCGGCATCTATTGTCACTAAAGCACAACATAACAACTAGCGCGTCATTGTGGTCTGCCAGTGTCAGTTGGCGCCGCCGATGACGGAGCCCAGGTCCTTGAGGGACACGGTGCCCGATCCGCGCTCCAGGGGCCGCGGCTGGCTGGCACCCGGCTTCCACGCGATAAAGTGCAGCACCTCGAACGTCGCCGGCACCGACACTTCACCGCTCTGCTCGTCGACGGAGCCGTACATTTCCTGGTAGATGGCCGCCGCCGCCAGCATGGTGTCCCGGTTGAGCCGCAGAGTGCGGTTGACGGCGGCGTTGTTCTCTGCCATTCCCTGAAGGTCCCACATCAGCTCGAACATGGACGGGTAGCCGACCGTGATGGCGTCCACGTCAATGGTTAGCATTGTGAAGCCGGCCCTGGTAAGGAGTCCGACGACGTCCTGCGGCTTCACGAACGGCGACACGTGCACGCCGATACCCCCGTCTCGCTCTAGGCTGGCCAGCTGCAGGGCGCAGCGCAGCTGGTACAGAGTGTCGCCGCCCAGCATGGCACCCACGAACGCGCTGTCCGGCCGCAGGCACGCCAGTACGCGCCCGAAACAGCCCGGCAGGTCGTTCACCCAGTGCAGACTCAGACTGCTGGTGACCAGATCCACGCTGGAGTCCTCCAACTGAAGCTCCTCTTCATCGAAGTTGATTTTTTGCAATGAGACGTCCTCTAGGCACTGGGCGGCAGCCAGCAGAGACGAGGACATTTCGCAGGCCACCACCTTCTTCACCATGTCCTTGTCAAAGTGTTTGAGTACATATCCTTTTCCGCATCCAAGATCCAACACTGTGCCGAACTGGCGCTTGATGTCGAATACCCGATCTGCAACTCTCCAGCCAACCTCTTCCTTGACATAGTCGTAAAGTGATGAATCCAGTCTCTGTCCGGCAGTGTTTCTGTGATGCTCTTTTGCCTTTCTATCGAATATAATAGCAGGGAAACATGCTCTTGTGCTTGTTGAAATTGTTCGCCAACATTCAGTATTTTGGAACTGGTTAGCAGTAAACCTCGCAACGCAAGACATCCCTGGTTTCAGTATCATCTTGTACTTGAATTTGACAAACGCTGCGGCCAAGAGTATTACTTATGCAACACTGCGTTCTGGTTCACACTTTTCTTCATTTTTCACAAACTGAAACCACCGACAGAAACCAAGTATTATTGGTTTTGGCTTCAATATGGCTCATATTGAACAGTTGAGGAATTTTTGGTGGGCACAGTCTACGAAAACAAAAGCAAATCCACGTGGTTGGGCAAGCAGGGCGATAAATACCAGATAAAAACAAACGTTCTATTTCAGTGATTTTTTGTGATTTCACGTCATAATCCATAGTTCTGTGGCACCTTTTGACCTTGAAACACTTGGAAACCTGATTTCAAGTGTTTGCATGGTGGGATCGACTCAGATCATATATCCATGTTCTTGGTAGGTTTGTCATCAGATCCCATTAGATCATAGATCCGGGACAAATCTTTCACGCCGGGGCGGATCCGGTGGGATCATAGATCCCGACCTGCATTTTGCTTCGAGATCCACTAAGATCATAGATCCATTACTCGGATCCATGCACATGTCTGGTCGGAGTCGACATTGTGTGTCTAAACGTGTAGTCTACGCCTATCAGCGGAAAAACACTACATTCGATGACTCGTCCAGGCCAGATTTTGTCGGAGATAAGGTCATACTCCAGTTTCGGAGGACCGTTTTCAGCATGGAAAGCAGAAGACGGCAGTTGCTCCAGAAACCGCTCATAGTTATTTTTGCAGTGCATTCATAATGTAACAGGGCTGCGGAGTCGGAGTCGAAGTCGGAGTTGGAGTCGGTCGGAGTCGACAGTTCTGCCCGGAGTCGGAGTCGCCAAAGTCTTACCGACTCCGACTCCGGAGTCGGAGTTAACACTGCCTGGCTCAACGTCATGCACTGATGCAGTGCATGACTTGACGATACTGCGCTCGAAATTAGATTTTGTCGAAAAAGGTCATTTTGCTGTTTTGGACGAACGTTTACAGCGAGAGAAGCAGAAGACTGTGAATTTCCAAGGACCTGCTTTTTAAATCTGCATATTATTTCTAATGCATATTTGCAACGCAAAGCCTTGGAGCGCACAAGGGAATAGGGATCGTTTCAGGCAAGATAAAAACGTCTCCATTATGAACCTCAATATCATGGTATGGATTTCAATAGAACCGTCCGGAGTCGGAGTCGGAGTCGATTTTTGAAACCAAAGTCGGAGTCGGAGTCACCCTAAAATCCAAGTCCGCAGCCCTGCAATGTAAGGCCTTGGAATGCTCAAGGGGCTATCTTCAGGCAAGATAAAGAATTCATTCATAAACTTCACCACCAAGAATTGAGTAGGAATTCAAGGAGTCAGAGCTGGGGTCAGAGTCTGAGCTGGGGTCACCAAACTTCCATTGCTTCTGCATCTCTGATAAAAATGAAATATGTTACACCAATTAAATACCTTGTTTTTATAAAGCAATTATGTGTCCACTATTTATGTAACAAGTTACCAGCAATTTACAGAAAATAAAGTAACAATATGGTGGGATATCTTAATCAATGATAGCTTATGATATGCAATGCATAGCTTAAAGATAAAACTCACCAGGTGAGTTATATCTAAAAAAAAAAACCAAAGTGAACAACAGTACCTATAATACAAATACAGCCACAGCAAAAGAAAGATACCTATATATTAAACAATGCAAAAAGATGTGTTGGCACTTGGCAGTGCATCAAAAACACTTAAATTGTATGTCATTCATCACATCAATTCAATAAAAGTACAAAAAAAAACATGAAGTGCAAAGGTTGTAAGTGAATAAGGCACACCTTGTAAACTGCAAAATTCACTCAAATATTGGATAGGTACCTAAGTACCTAGTTATTTAAGAAAATATATCACTCTCAACCCGCGCGGGGCTGGGGGGGGGGGGTAAATTTTACCCCCCTCGCGAATTTTTGCGATATCTCAAAAACGGCGGCGCGCAGCGCCGCCAAACTTTCAGTACCTTTTCTTACATCAATTTGACATCTTCCCTGAAAATTTGAGCGAAATCCGTCGGAAAATTTTTGAGAAATTGACGTTTTAGTGACGTCATGTTCGCCATTTTCGCCTCAAAAACGGCAAAAGTTCAAACGCCGCTAACATCTTCATTTTTAAAGGAATCAAGACGTAACAAAAAAGGTTATACGTAATTTTACTTTGTCTATCAAATGGCTATCTCGGTTTTTTGAAAATTTTGGATTTTGGCCTAAATTTTTTCAAAAAACTGATTTTTTTTTGGGAAAATCATTATAAAATCCAAAATTTTGAGTCTATCGAAAAAACCGGAATATATGTCAGAGAAGTGGTCTATGTGCACCTACATACCAAATTTTAGAAGAATCGGTTCAAAAATGTGGGAGTTATTCAAAATTTTATGACGTCACGACACACAAATTTTTTGAAAAATGACTTTTTTGGAAGTTCTAGACCTCGTACGGAAACAAAAATAGCATCATTCGATTCGCCGTGAAAAACTGCATCAGATAGACACCTTTTTAGGCCTTAACAACCAACTTCAAAATTTGACCTCACTTGACCTGACCTTGACCTGACCTCGACCTGAAATTCATCCAGAGGTGGTCCATATCACTTATTGAGTGTGCCTATTGAATTCTATGAGTAAAATGACCCATAAAACATGTGTCGCACATGCCCTTTTCTATATTTTGTTTTTTGGTGACCTGACCTGACCTGACCTGACCTTGACCTTGACCTCTGAATGATATTGTATGCAACTAATATTGTCTTGGTAGCCTAAGAACACGTTTTGGGCGATCAGTCTCAGTCCATGACTCCATTCTTCGGCAATTACGGTGCAAGGCCGATACTGTAGAAACTTGCAATTTGTACCCTTGACCTGACCTTGACCTTGACCTCAAACTTTAAATTAAGTACATGTTTTTAGTAGTTCGTGATGAGAGCTTTCGATTGGCGTTTGAATTTTCCAAATCGGACCATTAGTTCGGGAGATAACAGGGGGGGGGTAAAATTTACCCCTCCCCAGCCCCGCGCGTTCGGCTGGAGACCCCAGCCCCGCGCGGGTTAAGTCTAAACATGGGGGGTTTGAATTGGAATAGCAGTTTTGTAGCCTGAGCTGAGACTAGCACAAATCAGCAGTGCTTTACGCGATAACTAATTTTCGGACCTGCGATAACGATGAAACGATAAGAAAGGTTTGCGATAACGATAAACGATAAACGATATAATTATTCAAAAAAATTAACAGCGATAGCGATAAAACGATAAAATGATAACGATAATCGTTTTTTTTAACAGCGATGACGAAACGATGAACGATAAAACGATAACGATAATTGTTTTTGAACAGCGATAACAAAAGCGATAAGAAATACAGCTTTAATAAGTGTAATTAAAGTGTGCAAAGACGGAAACCTGAGCCAAGTTAGCGTAGTTTTTTATCCTGAGTTTGACTTTCTGGAGCAAGTTCATTTATATACTTGTTCAGTCCCCCAGGTATGCGGGAGTGGACTCCCCTGTGACTGACCTCTGCCCGGTCCGCCGCGCAACTTTATACCACCCGTCGGCCGTCTGACAGATCTGGGGCCGTATTCACGTCGACTTCGTAAGTCAATTTTCTTTCGTAAGTATAATTTGGTATTCATGTCGACACTTCTTAAGTTTTTTCTTACGAAATGTCTGGATATCTACAAAAATCGGCATTCACGTCAAAATTCGTAGGAATATCTTAAGAAATTCGTAAGAAGCGTTTGGTGCATTGACCTTTGCCTTAATCATTGAGATTTAGGGATCCTCCTTGTAGGGATTTACACAACTATCCATTGTATATAATTGATAGAGACAAGTAGAAAAACACGGAAAAAATAGTGCATGGTCGTGTTTCGATTATTAAATCTTCATCAGCATGACATACCCACAAAGAAAACAAGATATCTTGTTTTCTTTGTGGTTATGTCATGCTGATGAAGATTTAATAATCGAAACGCGTCCATGCACTATTTGTTCCGTGTTTTTCTACAACTATCCATGCATTTGTGCATTTCATTTTAGTCAAACCAGCAAGACGCCTTTGGGCGACAAACGAGCCAGCGCGCGAGTGAGCCCCCCACACATGCACTGTACAGAAGTGCGAAGGACTTCCAAATGTTCCAAAAATGCGCCACTGTTAAGTGTTGGGGGCGCCCCTCTTCTACTGGGCAAGCCCAACTTCTGTACATATGAGGTGCCTTATTTCTTGACATTGATGGACATGCACTTTTAGTGGATGGGGAAGCACCTGTACCCCCATACATATAGAAAGTTACACCAATGGGGGGTCCGTAAGACCCCCCAGCCTTTTGGCCGCTGATCGGCTTGGCCGCTGACCAAACTTGAGCGCAATCAGCCCAGCTGTTCTTGAGATGTAGAAGCGGCACCCTGCACGTGCGCACGTGTAAAATGGTTCAAACTAGATTTTGCCCGGCACCCTTCGCACCGGTCCCTATAACCGTGTGCCAAGTTTGAGTGCAAACGGTCCAGGCGTTCTCGACATCTGGAAGCGACCCCTGCTCGTGCGCACGTGCAGTAGCGCCTCAACCGTGACATATGACAACGCATTTCCCGGTAGGTGCCTACCCACATGCCAAGTTTCAACACAATTAGGCCGGTAATTGCCGAGTTATTGTAATAAGAACAAACGTGACACCTGTTTGTACTTTGCACGTGCAGCGGGTGGTCACTCACATGAATCAAGAGTACCCGATGTTTAGTAGAAGGGCTACAGCTACCCTAAAAAAATTACCGCAAGTCAAACGTCCATGCAGTGGTTGCTGAGATATAAGCCCACTTTGAGAAATTGGTAGTCTCAAAAGCGCTACTTCTGCAAAACAGCTTGGACGCCCTTGACTTCTCACGTTGCACGTGCCACGATGGTCAATTAGATGCATCAAGATAGTAAATTGCGGGTTAGAAGGGATGGGGCAGCCCAACAAAAAGACCACAGGTCAATCAGTCCAGCGGTTGATGAGATATAGGCCTCCAAAAGCATTACAGGCCGGGCCGGGCCGCTCATACTGATATTTTCCCGTTTTATTGAAAAGACTTCGCTTCACTCGCTCGCTGGTAATAATTTTGCTCAATAATAACAGCCATTCTTAGTCCAGACAACCGTTAGTGTCAATTCTTAAAATAATTCGTCATTTTAGTCTTAGCCTACTGCACTGATTTATCGTTGCGTCAGTTTACGACAGCTCGGTGAGTATTCGTAAGTCCACCATACCGTTAACATTATGTTCTTACGAAAAACTTAAGAAATTCTTAAGATGACACGACGTGAATCGCACTTACGACATTCTTACGAAAATTCTTAAGAAAAGGTCGACGTGAATCGCAAACTGTCTACGAGAATTTTTTTATTCGTAAGATATTTTTGCTGTCGACGTGAATACCAAATTTTCGTAAGAAGTAGGTCGTGCGTAAGAAAATTCTTACGAAAATGATCGACGTGAATACGGCCCCAGCACACTTAGCAGATGGCAACAGGTTGCGCACACATACTGTCGCGCGGCATACACTAGTGTCGATCGTCTTCCATTTTTTCATCATCCCGTTTTACATTTTGCGTTTATCGCTCATAGTTTTTGTAACTTGCGATAAGTGGATGAGCGATAGTTTTGAAAATTTAGCGATAAACGATCACGATAACCAATTTACTTAACAGCGATAATTATCATTTATCGTTTATCGCTCATCCTGTCGCATGCGGAAACCACTGCAAATCAGGAGCTTTTACTGCCCAATGATCACCCTAGGCATAGGCAATTATGTTCTGTTTCTAATTCCAAAACGAGTGACTCACGCAGGAATGTGGTAACTTAAAGAAGAATAACCAAAATGCAGCCACCTCAGCATCAGCCTATCAGCACTCACCAGTACATAGTGCCTTGTATGCACCTGGTTTTGAACTAGACAATATGATTGGTCAATGCGTAATAAGCCACTGTGACAAACACTATTTTATATAGAATAAAGTTCTTCCTATAGGAAAAAATAAAACTGTTTTTGTTAATATTGATTATTTTCTATTTTCATCATTTTAAGCATACAAAATAAGAAAACTGTAGCAAAGCTTATTTGTGGAAAGTGGTAACTGGTAAGTCTTTTACATGAAACATGCACTATTAAGTATTAGATTATCAGGAGTATGAAAAATAACCTCTTGCTCATATCTGAATGAATTAAAAAATTAAAGACCAATATATATTCGGGCGTGGCCCTTCCTCAGTGGTACAGTGTTACAATGGCTGTACCACTGAGGAAGGGCCACGCCCGAATATATATTGGTCTTTAATTTTTTAATTCATTCAGATATGAGCAAGAGGTTATTTTTCATACTCCTGATAATCTTATCAACAATGCTCAACTCAACGTTTCAATACCTGAAATTAAGTATTAGATCGAGAAACACAAGTAATACATGACAATGACAACAACAAACACCAGCATACAAATTTGTTGCACAGGTAAAGATATGCAGTGAAACCTAATAAATGGCCCCTGTTTGGTGGAGTTATGGCGTGCATTGACTGCATTTATTATACCTACCTAAAACTTTGAAAGGCATCCATATAATCAAGTGAAAAAATGAAATGCAAAAAAAATGAAATGATTGAGCGATAGTGGGTTTTTTATCTCCTAACACCACACTTAAATAAATGAAATAATGAAACTATTAGCAATTCCTTCAATACCTAATTTCTAAACTCCGACAGGTGATGTCGGTGTTCACTCTTGTCTTACCTACCTTTCCCCTGGAATAGCTCTGACAGTATACTGGCGGATAAACTGGATATGAGTTATTTATGAAGAATGACAGCCTTTACCCAGCAAATAATTATTATGAAACTGAAGAAGGCTTTAATGCAAAAAGCCGTAAATATAGATTTTCCCTTTATCTTCACAGTTTTTTGGAAGAACCAATTCAAATTCTGTTCTTTTTGCCTACTGTAAGCATTATGAAGATGTGGAACTGGCAAGTTTGAAGCGTTTGAAGGCAAAAAAGGACCGTATTGTAATATAATTTGTCAGATACCTCTTTATGTCATTGAATGTTCTTTTCAATCATTTTCTTTAAAATACTTCACATTAAATAATTCATAGGCCAACTTTCTTTTATGACAATCATTCCTGTAAGTACTGCTCAAGAACATATTTCGTCTGAAAATTTTATGTCTGCACTGCGGTGTTTCTGAATCAGATTTTATCAAGAACTTTTTAATATGAAGCTGGCTCCTCCACGGCTCCTCTATTTCTTATATTTTCATGCTTCTGTTATATTCTTGTTTTTTTTTTAAGCAAAAATTTTGATTTTTATTCTGGAATTTGAACCTTAATTGCGATTTTGCAACTTTCAACGTTTTTTACTTTATTTTAGATTGCTCCAGACTTATATGCATGTCTGGCGCTCTTGTTTCAAATTGAGGCGCGAAATTCTTTGCATTGCGGGCGCATTGTGTAGATTGAGATTGAGATAAAGAAAATTGGTGTAAATTGTTTGTTTATAGTGCTTATACCTTGGCTTATTTCGTGTAATCGTAATTTCTCAGTGAAGTGGTTGATATTTCTACACGGGGTGATGTCCATAATGGTACCTACTGTATGATATTTTTTATTGAATTGGTTGAATTGATTTTTATTGACCTTAGCAATAAGCCGTGAACCTCAGCTACGGTTTTCTCAATTTTTGGTGTGGACCTCTTATTTTATTTTTGAAATGGTGTATGCCCATTTCCGCTTGCATTATATAAGCCACAAGGCTCAAAAGTATTCACAATTAATTACTGGTTTCTGCATCCACAATCACTTGTTTAGGAAGGATTTATAACATCTGCCTTGTAGTAAAAATAAGCCAGCTGAAAGGGATTTGGCATTTTGTCATTGACATATTCTGTACCTTCCAGAACATCATACAAAGGACAGTGAGGAAAGGACCCCAGCTTGCACAGCAGGCTCGTACCTGCTACCAGGGTGCATATGGGGAAAAATGTAAGGCTTGTCTGATTTATTGTTTTGTCTAAACCATGCAACTATTTCGAATATTTGAAGTGGCTGCCTGCCCAAGGAGATCCTCAGTCTCTTATTCATTTTTTGCCACTCATCACATTTCAAAAGAGGGAAGTTGACCTGGATAAGAACTGTTTTTGATTCATCACTATTTTGTGATTAGATTACAACTTACAAATAATCAACTTTCAGGTTTTAAATGTTTCTTTGGTATGTCATTCAGTGTATTAATAGAAAATGGTGCCTACACCTTTGTTTTCTATTCCAGGTCTGAACAGTGTCACTCTGCTTGGTCGAGCTGGGTCTGTTGCCCAGAAACGTGGAACTCCTGATAGCCCTGTGGTTATATTTTCACTGGCCACAAACTCCTACCACAAGAATGCAGAGGGTAAGTTGTAAGTCATTGGAAGTCTGATGTGCATTTCAAATCGTGGCATCCCAAAAAAATAACACACTGAAACTGTGTGAAAATAGTGTAAAACAGTCTAAATAAGCAATTTTTACCAGTCCATGAAACTTGCTATTTTTTCCTTACATTAATTATCTGCCAGGCAATGTTCATTTTTCACAAAGGCCACACAAAATCAGTATGATTACGAGCGAGCGAGCGCAGCGAGCGAAGCGAAGGCTTTTCAATATAACGGAAAAATCTCGGTATGAGTGGCCCGGCCCGGCCCGGCCTGTAACGCTTTTGAGAGGCTTATATCTCAGCAACCGCTGGACCGATTGGCCTGCGGTCTTTTTTGCTGGGTAGCCCCATCCCTTCTACCCCGTAATTGACTACTTTTGATACATCTCAGTGACCGTCGTGGCACGTGCCACGTGAAAAGTCAAGGGTGTTCAAGCTGTTTTGAAAAAGTACATTTTGTAGTGATTTTGAGAGGCTCATATCTCAGCAGCCGCTTGGGCGATTGTCTTGCGGTAATTTTTATAGGGTAGCTGCATCCCTTCTACCAAAGGTCGGATACCCTTGATCTATGTGAGTGACCCCCACTGCACGTGCAAAATACAAAAAGAAGAGGTGCCAAATTTGTTCCCATTTCAGTAACTCGGTAATTACTGGGGCGATTTCGCTGAAACTTGGCATACAGGTAGGCACCCACCAGACAATGCATTCCCATGTGTTGCGGTTAGGGTGCTGCTGCACGTGCGCACGTGCAAGGGGCGTTTCCAGATCTCGAGAACGGCTGGGCCGATTGCGCTCAAATTTGGTACACGGTTGGGGACCGGTTAGTAGGGTGCCGTGCAAAAGTCATTTTGGACCCCGTTTGCACGTGCGCACGTGCAAACGGGGCACGTGCGCACTTTTAGATCTCAGGAACGGCTGGGCCGATTGCGTTCAAATTTGGCACACCGCTAGCGACCGGTTAGAAGGGTGCTTTGCACAAGCCCGTTGGAAGTACCCTCTCGCCCTTCCTCACGTGCAGGGCTCACTATCTCGCTCGCTCGTTCTTCGCCCAAAAGGCGTTTTACTGGTACTACATAGTACCATGACTCATGACCTCACTCATTGTCAGCACACATACTTGAGTACAAAATGTTTGACAGACTTGACATTCACTTCTCACACATCTGGCCCTCAGGCGATGTTACCCAGCACGTGCAATGGCATCGAATCAGCGTGTTCCGGCCGAGCCTACGGGAAACTGTGTTCAGCAACCTGGCCAAGGGACAGCGAGTGCTGGTGCGGGGCAGCATCAGCTACTACACGGTGAGAATTACACGCGGTGAAGGCTCCGCACTGACAACAGGGCAACTACAGGGTGGGGCAGCATAATCGGGAATAAATATCAAACGGGATTATTTGGTCATGAATTTAAAAATATAGCTCCAAGCACTATTTTAACAACATCCCATCAATCGGTCACCTTTTACCTATCCCTCATCCTATTTGACCGCCCTTCGCGTCGATGACCTTCTCAAGGCGGGTCCAAAAGCACGCGCATGCACGTGCAGCCTCCTGCTTGTCCATGATCGCCCATCAGCTTCGTACCTTGCACTGAAGACCGTTTTTACTGATGATAAGTTGTTCATTAAACTTCTACCAAAAAACGCTCCATATAAAGAATTTGGTCGGATTTAAATCGGCGGAGTTGAAGGACCAGAAGTTTTTGGTTCATCTCAGGTGGAGGTGCCCTACACAATAACATGTCGTCCTCACTGCAGTACCAGCACGGACAGAGTCCTCGTAAGACGTGATCTGGACCGTCAGTGAGCCTCTCTTCCGACGACTCCACGTGAGTCTGCCAGAGTGTGGATGTATTTACCAGAGGTGCTCGTTTTATCCGGGCTCGATGAAGTAGGGTGCACCACGTGCACCTCCCTTGAAGACCACCCATAGGTCCATCACCTCAACAGGATGTTTACTTTGCATGACCGCTGCAATATTCTCGATACAATCCCCTATATGGCATGCCATTCTTTTTTATCGTATTCCAGTCGGTGATAAGATTTTTGGTCGCTGAAGTTTTGAACATTGTTTCTTTTTAATATGCTCAAGAGCTTCTTCCTTATATTCAAGTGAGTCATCTTGTATGTCCTCTGCTAAGAGTTATTTTACGACGATTACGTTAACTTTTTGTCCTAAGTATCCCCACACAATCCTTATCGTCCGTGATAACACGTTGACCTGTCCAGCAACCTTTACGTGGAATGGCATTGTTTTAAACAAAATGTTCTTGTTTTACTCGTTTAACATTAGTGTCTATGGGCGCGCGCAAAGCACTTGGAGCACCGTCGAACTATTTTGCTGCTCTTTTCCAGGAAGTTGCATGCTCATGGATGTAGTCATGTCAGATGATGCACAACTTTTGGGCGTTTCATTGCCATGATATAATTTATCAAAATAATGCCATGCCTACTCATGACCAGAGCCCAAAAAGCATTCCCGATTATGCTGCCCCACCCTGTAGAGCGAGGAATGCATCTCGATGGATATATCGGAGACATGTATGCATCGGCTGGATATCAGTTAGCCAGGTGGCTATTGCTCCTGTTATATTATCTTCATATTTCATAGGTTCCTAAGGTAAGCACGTTTGATTTGCAACTATCTGATCTGTCGCAACTTACGTACGTTACTAGCAGTACGTTACAAGTAACGTACGCAACGTTACGACTAACGTACGTTACTATATTATAAAGTGCATCTACCAAAATACCGGTATTCTTAACCGCCCGCCTGACATCAGCTCACTCACCTTTTCTGGTGCGGCGGTTCCAGGTACAGGACAACTACAACAACACGAGCACGGCGACCTCCATCATTGCCGACGACGTCATCTTCCTGAGTCGGACGCGCGAGGGCAGCTACCAGGCGTCCGACGAGACGGCCGATGACGACCTGAAGTGATCACTCAGACACGGGTAATCGTTTGGGGAGGTTTCGGGGATAATCGCGCGGGTCAATTACCCGCTTTTGGCCCGATTTTGTAGATCTCCTAGTTCAGAGATGGTTCAGTCAAAGATGAAGTCGTTTTGTATGCCTTTTTTGTACCAAGTGAAGTGTGCCATCGGGACGAGAAGTACGTTTGCCTTTTGGTGAGTTGTGATGTGGAAAGCAGTGAAGTGTGACTGATAGTTGTTCGCCCCTGCATCGTGTCGTACCTGCACCATGAATGAAGTGTCACGCTGACAGCTGAAATCGAAACTGCTTTTGCAAAGTATACGCCTTTGTAAATAAATAGTTGGCCGCTGCTGACAACCACAACTTGGCACAAGACGTCCAAAATTGCTATGGCGACTCGAATTTAGGGAAACCCATACTTTCACAAGCATTTTCATCTGTGGGCGGAGAAATTGTTCGGTTACGAGATCTGGCGTACAGTAATACTGCCACTGTGCAATCATTATCCGACCGTGCTTCCGATGGGTGTAAGTGAACACACAAAGCTTACAACGATGTCTCTTGATGAAAATGTTTTATTTAATTACACCATTGTACAGTGTCTATGTCTGACTGGCGGCATCAGCCGCCGCTCCGGTCACAGCAGAAGTACAACATAATCTGTCTGACGCTCCGCGCCGTGCGAGGCATCACAAAATAAATGCTTCCAAGTAGTGGCTAGAGCAGCGGAATCGCCGAGCCTGGCGGATCACAAGCGTCGAGAACGGCTGGCTGGCTGGTGGCGCCGGGCGGCGCCTGTCCGTCCAGCCGCCGGCGCCGGCCCGCCGACCTAGACGGAGGAAGAGCGAGCGACCCGACTGGCACAGACTGACGCGCCGGCCCGCGAAAGCGAGATAGAGAGCCGGAGAGACGGACGGCCGACGCCGGGCGCCGCCGGAGACGGACGCGGCTCGCGGGCGCGCTGGGACTGGAGCGGGCCGCGCGCGGCGCCGCCCCGCCCCTATCACATGTGCGTACCCAGTACGCAGCGCACGGGCGGGCGCGCGGCCGGCCGTCGCCGGCGGCCGCTCCGTCACGGCCAGGTGTTCCGAGAGCGCGAGTGAGCGCGACGCGGCGGCCGGGCCGGCGGGCGGAGCGCAGCCCCAACACAGAGCGTCTGCTGCGGCCCGCCGGACGTGGCAAGAAGGTGGAGGGCCGGCGCCAGCGCAGATGGACGAGAGCGCCGACCGGCGGCGACGCGGCGGCAGTAGCCTCCCCGTCCGCGTGCGCGCGAGCGTCGATTGTCTGGGGCGGCGGCGGTGTTCTACACCGGCTGGCTCCCCGGGAAGATGGAAGGGTACTGAGGTCGCTCGGGCCGGTCCTCCAGCTTTTCGTACTCGACCTGGAACTCTTTCGCCACTTTGCGCCAACTCTGGACGTCGAAGTAGTAGTATGTGCCCCGCTCATACGCGCTGGTTTTCTCGATGGGTGGCACACCGGGCGCGCGCGTGATCCATACGCGGTCCTCTTTCAAGAAGCGCCAGTCCCGGTTGTAGCTGCACGGAATGACAAAAAGCAGTCAGACATAATATCGAAGCGAATGTTGGACTCACTGACAGCACAGATGGTCGACTCTTCCCACGCAAACGTCCCACGCATTGTTAATCACTTAAAACAGGACGACTCTAATACCAGTACCGATGTTAAGATCGCCATAAATGTTTGATTTTACGAGGAAATATGTACGTAGGTATCCTGCAGCTGGCTCTCTGTCCTGAAGATGACTCTCTAGAATTAAAGCAATTGCTCAGTGCGAAACTTAAATCACGTGACACACAGCCGAGTGGGGGATGATTTTTGGTTTCAATAGTTGCCGTACTGTTGGAATGATTCAACAGCTGCGTGGTAAAATCGAGTGTATAACTCACAGTTCCCTCGCAGCCATTATTTGCAGCACGTCCCCGGCGTTCATGTAGAATATGTGAAACAATAGATCTTCCCCGTACCGACTTAGCGATATTTGCGCCAGCTTTTCCCTGAAAAACAAACGGACGAAAAATAAGATGACGCACAGAGACACACTCAACTATCAACACGTATCACACAAATACGGAAACAATTGAGCGGCAATTAACGCATTTCGGTACAGGGTCACGGAAAAGGTATTGGTGCACCGGCACATCATGATACGACGTCCTGTCAAAACTTTCGGTCCAAGATAGGCCGAAGCGACAAAGCCCACCTCCGAAGAGGACGCCCCACCTTCGAAGCATATCGCGTGGCGTCATTATGAGCTGTAACCCTATTACAACAGATGCATTAGCGAGTTACAAGAAGTTAGTACAGATACATCGGTCGTAACTCCCATTAAAAATGCATTGCTCCGCTCATGTATCTCGGAGAAATATTTGATACGATACTATAGGCTGCGATTGCAGAGGCGGCGGAAGGTATTTTGGGATGGGGGGTAGGGTGTTTCATTACACTATGGTAAAATAATGTTGGTTCAAAACTCAGCCATATCGACTTTGCCCCAACTCTACCCGTAAAACTGAATCGATTGATACGCTTGAAACCCAAATTTAAGTAAATTTAGGGGTCGCACACTTTTGTCACCAAAACTCGTTACACAGAGAAGGGGGCACATCCTTCCTTGGTGCGCTTGGGCAGCGCCTTCCGGTTGAGTTCCACGACTCGCAGGCCATCGTTGTTAGGGCCCTGCCGCCCTCAATAGACCGTTGCAGAGCCCTCAGATGCCACCATAGCCCCCGCAGCCTGGTTGTGTTGGGGCCCTCAGAGGCCGTCGCTGGGCCGCCTGAAGCCAAATGGGCCCTCAGACTTAAGTTGGGTCTAGGGCCGTCACGAGGGCCCTTAGAGACCGTCGTAGAGACCCTCTAGGGCCAGTGGGGCCCCTGGAGTCCTGTGGGACCCTCAGCGGTCGTCATGAGGGCCCTTAGTGGTCGTTATAGGGCCCCAGGGGACAGAGTTCGTCGTGAGAGCCCACACAGATCATCGTAAGGGCCCTCAGAGGCCGTCATAGGGGCCCTCAGAGGCCAGCGTGGCCCCTGGAGTCTCTGTGGGACCCTCAGCGGTCGTCACGAGGGCCCTTAGTGGCCGTTGTAGGGCCCCAGGGGACAAACCCTCAGGTGGGAGCCCTCAGAGATCGTCATAAAAGGGCCCTCTGAGGCCGTCGTGGGGGCCCTCAGATGCCGTGTGGAGCACCAAACGCGGCTCGGGACACTTCTAGCCGGTGTGGAGGCCCCGACTAGCGTGGGGCGCTCCTGACCATAAATAGACACCCCGGATGATTCCACATCAGTGTTCGTTTCCTGATCACTGGTTTTCAGGAGAAAATGTATTGGATGGTGCGACGGGCCCCTTGTATGGATTTTGGGGGTGCAAAAAAGATATGTTTGCACCCCCATGTTTTTCGATGGGGGTGCAGCTGCACCCCCTATTCCGCCGCCACTGCCTGGCTTTCTCAACCAAATCAGTTCGCAGGAAGACTACTCATGTTACGGCCAGAAACAAAATCAGAGATGAAAAGTCGCAGAAATGTGCGACCTCTAAACATCATCAGAATGAAGTGAAATTTTACACAGAAACTTGTGAGCAGATGACATTTGAGGGGAACATCGATATGACTCGCAATATGGCACTTTGAAAATGTGAAACACCCTAATGGGGGGGCACACCTGATCCTTCCCGGAACCTAGGGTACCCCCAAATCTAGTTTTCTCACCGGTTTTAGGCCACTTATTTTTCACCCCTTGGCCTTTACAACGAAAAATCGAAACGAAAACATTTGCAAAAAGTGAGATATCCCGTCTCATCTGAGTCAAGGAACTACCTTTTTGGTAACTTGGAATAAACGTTTAAAGCTTTCACACATGAGCTGTCAAATCAGGTATAGAGGGGGATTTTTTTACTTAAATAGGTATTGTCTTCCATTCAGCTTTTCTTTGAGGCCCACGGCCGCTAATATAGGGAGGACAAGCTGCCCCGACGGTTCCTGGCCCTATGAAACTTTGTGGGGGCAGCGCCTGCGCCCCCCACGGCCCCAGAGTTGTGGGGGCAGGCTACCCCCATGCTGCCCCCCGGCTCACGAGTCTATGCCGGCTGGCGTCTGGCAGAGTCGCGGGGAAAGGCCTGTGGCACGCTCAGACGCGCTTCTGTGACGTCCGCATGCCGGGCCACTCGCGTTCCGTCCTACTCTTCCGGTTACCGGTAGCTCGTAGATAGCTGCTTGATTTCTGAGCATTATGTGTGGAGGGCGTTTGGTGGAAATGTATGATATTTAGAGAATGAATATGTGCTTACATGTTGTCACAGTCTTCTGCGTTAGAACGCTCCATAATGAAGGTTGTTTCTGGTTAACATTTCGAAAAGGTAATAAATCTATGAAATTATGTTGGTAGATTTCCGATTTCGATTCCTCCGGTTGGAGGGTCTCAAATACCTACATTACGAGCCCTCCCCCCGCCGAAAAGTTGGAGGGGCTCAGCCCCCGCTAGCCCCTCCAGAGTGGCGGCGCCACGGATTTTCGCCAGTGGGGGCAAGCTTGAGGTGACCCCTGTTGTCTGACATCCCGATCCATAGAATCCAGGAGCACCTTGCCCCTAGCCGTTGCCATCCAAAATTGTCCACATGAAGGAAATGTTATGAAAAATAAAGGAATTTCTTTGCCATCATCACATCACCACAGCCTTGCATTGGAGTTGTGTAGCCTCGTTTGCATCATCACAAGTCTTACCTATCAGGAATATTGCATAGGTCTTTTGTTCCCTTTTCAACATCAGCCAAATTTTGTGGGGGCAAAAATGTAGTTTTGCCCCCACGGCCTCCTGTCAGTGGGGGCAGTCCGCCCCCACTGCCCCCACGGTGGCGCCGCCCTTGCCTCCAGCCGGTTCCCGGGAACCGCCCCTCTGGTTCCCGCGCCACTGCGGCAAGTCCAGTTCAAATACGTGTAGCACGCTGTGGCTGTCACCGTGACTGTTGTTCGCGTTGAACAACTTGCTTCCTTTAAACCAATGACGTCATTAAAGTTAGCCAATTATTGGCTATTGCAAACCTTTTTGGTTGGTAACACTCGCACTGCAAAATGCTAGCCAATGTGATCAAAATATGTACGACGACATTGACAACAATATCAATCCATTCCAAATTACTCGCTCTATTAACTTAAAAAGGTACTCAGCCAAACTGGCATATGTTCATGACGTAGTATGGAAGTATTGTGGTACCTACTTCGTCGATAACAATTTGGGGGGGCAAAAAGATATGTTTGCACCCCCACCCTGGAAGATGGGGGGGCGCCGTGCCCCCGCTGCCCCCCCGCTTCCGCCGCCACTGTGCGATTGGTCTCAAATCAATAAAAAACTAGCCAACGCATGCCGTTCCCGAACAAATCTATATCGTCATCCAGGTTACTCGCTGGCCGCTGCCCCCCCCCCCCCCCTCCCCCGTCCTCGTCGCCCGTTACCGCACTGTGGATAAGGGGCCAGGACAGTCATCGGCAGAAAAAGTTCACCATAATAACCCTGTTTGTATCGGCGACCGCTCAGCCAATAACCCAATTTCCCTCCCGGGTGCTGCCGCCACTGCCGCCTCAGCCTACCACAGCGGGGGCCAGGGTACTTCCTGTCCCCATATTATCCGTCATAACAGCACCACGTGGTGGACCACGTGGCGGCACGTCCCACGTGGCAGGAGTCGGTGAATCAGCTGGTGGTGGCCGCTATTTTCAGCTGGCGTCGCTTGCGGCGAGGATCGGTTGGGATTTGCGTCATGGTAACTCTGTAGGGGGTGCTCCAAGGGTCGATCGGGGTCTTCGAGGAAAGGCAGGGCGCCGGGGTATAATGGGTCGGTAACGGGGTTACGGGACAACCCCGGGGGTCAAGTTGATCCGCCCTCCACAGACCGAGCGCCCAGGCGAGAAAAGTCTAACCAACGATCGCCCGCACGAACGGTGTGGCTCTCAGATTGCGTAAGTCCGTATAACATGGTCGAAATTATGTATAGCGGGGATCGAGTGTATAATAAAAGTGAACTCAACATGATTTTGCTTCGATATTGATTTGATACGGATCCACAACCAATGATATCCACCAAATATCTTGCTTTTCACGGGCGTAGGAACGTCATGAAAAGTGGGTGGGCCACCCTGTCAAGGGGCCTCCTTTTCCAGGGGGCCTCCTACTTTCAGGGGCCTCCAACTTTTGCCTCGTCCTGCTGGCTGCTTTCAAGTATGACCTGCAAATCTAGCTTCTGAGATCGGGCAGATGTACCCAGATGCGTAACCGCTTAAGCGAACAGTGCGGAAAATCCGCACCATTTTTAAAACTTATTTCCCCTCCGATTTTTTTAGAATCTATTTGCCGCAAACGGCGCATGACCCCTGAAAACCCTTACATAAATGTCTTCCTCGTTTCCCAGGTGCCCCCATTAGCTTCATAGGCGCCCTCTTTGGCATATAAGCGCCCTATATTCATCAGAGACATCCCTATATGTCCCGGACAGTCGCCCCGTTGTCGCATACAATGTGCGCTTATCATAGGCGTCTCTCTTTTATGAACACTTGAAGGCGCCTCTCTTTGCCATGCCGGCGCCCCTGTTTCTTATGAATGCACCCCCATGGCATTGATCAATTGCAGACCTCTATTGCATGTGGACGCCCATATATGTAGGCCTCAGAGGCTCCCCTCTTTCGCATTGAGGCGCCCCTATGGGCTTCATAGGCGCCCCTCTATTGCACGTAGGTGCCCTACTGTCTCAGAACCGCTCCCCTTTGGCATGCAGACGCCCGTCTTTCGTACGGAGGAGCCGCTGTGGTTCTTAGAGACGGCATGGTGCTCCCAGACGCAGATGGGGCTCTCGGAGTCGACAGTGTGGGACTTTCAGTCGCTGATGGGTGCCCGCCAGATGTGGACCCTCGGAGACGCTGGTATGGGGCCCTCAGAGATGCCGGTATGTGGCCCTTAGAGCCACCGGTGTGGAACCCTCAGATACTTCAGTGTGAAGCCCTTACAATTGCTGG